AGATGCGCATCATCAACGCAGGCGGATTCCAGAGCCTCGAGCGCAAGACATGGCGGGCCACCATCTTCAACAACCTGGTCTCGGCCTTCCAGACCATCTACGCGGCCATGCAGGAAGACGACATTGACTTTGAGGACGACGACAACATTGTATGTCCCATCCAATGGCTCCTGCTCAAACACCACTAACCGACGACAGCGGTACTCCGAGATGGTCAACTCCGCGCCCGACATTGGCACCGAGGAGCCCATGCCCGAAGAGTTCCACACAGCCTTCAACTCGCTCTGGGCCGACAAGGGCGTGCAGCTCACAATCCTCAAGGGCAACCAGTATGCGCTGCACGACAACCTGAACTAGTACGTTCCCCTCCACCATCTCTACCACTCCCAGGCTAACAATTCAGCTTCTTCCAAAACATCGACCGTCTGTTCCAACGGGACTTCCTGCCCACCGACCAAGACATCCTGCGCACGCGATTACGGACCACAGGTATCTCCGAGACCATCTTCGAGCTCGGCAACCTGACATACAAGATGGTCGACGTGGGTGGCCAGCGCTCAGAGCGTAAGAAGTGGATCCACGTTTTTGACAACGTGCAAGTCGTGCTCTTCCTCGTGGCCATTAGCGGATACGACCACGTGCTAGTAGAAGACCGGAATGGCGTAAGTCGCCTTTTAAGCATACACGCTACATCCACTAACAGCACTAGAACCAAATGCACGAAGCTCTCATGCTATTTGAGTCGATATCTAATTCCAAATACTTCGAAAAGTCGGCGCTTATCCTCTTCCTCAACAAGATCGATCTCTTCACCGACAAGATAGCAAGTGGCATGAGCCCAATCCGGAGGGTCTTCTCCGACTACACCGGCGGGGACCGAGATGTGGAGGCCGGCAAAGAGTTCTTCGCCAACAAATTCCGCAACCTCGTCCGCCAGCCCAAGAAGGAGGTCTACGTCCACTACACCAACGCGACCGACACCAACCTGCTCAAGATCACCATGGCGTCTGTACAAGACATGATCGTCCAGCGCAACCTCAACGCACTGATACTATAGTAATCACGGATGGTCGCGTTGCGATCGTCGCCGTCTTACACACAGCCCACGAGAGCGCTCGCGCGCCCACGCGAAAGCAGGGGTGCACAACGCACACGCGCCCGCGCTGTCGACCCACCTGCCCTAGAAACGGACAGTCCGCCTGGCGGGACCGGAGTAGCAACGGACTTTTAGTGGATGAGAAGAGACGACTTCCACGGCCCTTTTCTATTTTATACCCCCGATACCTCTTTCTCCGCTTCTTCATCATCTTCGCCAGTACATGACGATCTCACGACTTAATCTCTTGGTCTTGATTCTAGTCTTGATCTTGGTCTCTTTTTCTTCTCTCTTGGTTTGTTTTAGTAAGCGGATAAACGCATTTTGTAGATTCATAGTGTATTGCAGATCTGAGGAGACGAGCATGTCTTGGAACTCGACTGTGGAAAGATACAGAGGCTGACAAAATCTCCCTCCCTATCTCGGCTTTGGACAACTACCGTTCATTGGGTGTTGTGTACCTAGTAATCCTGCGCAGTTACTCACTGAGAGTGGGCAGGATCATAGATTGGGGTTGGGCAGTGCCATGTCCAAAAAAACATATTACATGGCATTGGACGTGCAGCGGGGAATGCAGAAGAGGTACATTTTGCTGCTGCAGTGTAATATCAACAAACCATCTTACCCACCTCCGAGACACATGTTCACCTTGACGTATTCCGGTTCCCGTAGTTTCCGTTTCCCGTGTCATTGCATATGCAGCCACTTACATAGCCATGTCCCAACTTACATCATATTTACCCTGATTTACCCACCGCAAGCGAAGGGAGATATGATCAGGATGGTAAAAAGCCGCAATCCCGCGGGGTTCGTCAACGCCCATGCATCATGCGCCTCTGCGGCGTGGTTGCCTTACAGACCGAACCAGTCGCTCTCGGTCCGTGCCGCTTCAACCCGGCGTGGGACGTTGACTCGCACGTCGCGTCGCAGAGTGGGAGGAGGGTCTATCCCTCCATAATGAGGGAGTGGCTGAGCTGGTGGCTTGGCCTGGACTTGTGGCGTCGGTTTGGGGTGGAGAGAGACGAGATGGGTGGATGTGTACCTAGGTATAGAAAGGGTGAGATGGATTGTAGTGCAGTGCAGTGCAGTGCGATGTATTGGACATGCGGGGTGGGTGGTCAGGCGCGCACAATGGGATTGTAAGGTCACGCGAAGAGTGTTGGCGGAGTGAGTAGAAGGGTGCTGTTGGTGAGGGCAATGTGGTTTGTGGAGGGATGCGAAGTGAGGTAGTGCGGATGGGGGAATCCCTTGCTTTGAGGAGGGGATAACGCCTGTGAGAGGGTAATAGTGGGCGCTTGCTAACACATGGTGTTAGTCTAGGGAGAAAGTAAGAGAAGACTAGCCAGGCAAACTGTAAGCTGTGCAAGTATGTGGACAAGATCGATTTGACGGTTCAAACAGCGCTGTATAATGGGCAGAACAATACTCATTCTACCTAGGTACATTGCAGATGGCGTGTATCAGAGGATGCATCTTAGCCACAATGCTCTAACGACAGACACCATTGGAATATATGGGGGATATGATCTAGACCACACACCGACATCTTGTCACGAGACCTAGGTAAATATCCGTGGACGTTCACCGTACTCTCGATCGCTGCACGCTTCTGACATGTGCAATGCTCCCGTGACGGGTGCCGTGCTAGTGCCATCGGGGAAACATCGGCGCGTGGAGCACCTGCAGCAAGTCCTGATAGCCGGCCCTTGAGCCTCATCAACACCATCGTCATACCCAATACCCCTCCACCCAGCTGGCCATGTTCTCGCCCGCTGTTGGCAGAGTCGCCCGCTCTGCAAATACCTTCTCTACTGCGCCGGCGACGTCATATGTCTTCACCCGCTGCGCCCGCTCTGCGCTGAGCACCAGCACGGCGCCGCAACAACCCTTCCGACCCAGTCACCAGCGGCGCTACTCGTCCTCGAAGCCGTCCACACCCCCGAACAGCAAGAAGAAGCCCACGGAAATAGATCAGAATGCGACGGCAGAGCTCCAGGGCGCCGGCAAGAAGTCCAAGGAGACGAAGAAGCTGAAGGAGCCCTCGACGGCTACCACAGGCAACAACGTGCCTTTTGTACCGCCAACAAACCATCTTCGGGAAGACGGTAAGATGCCGCGGGGATGCACCTTCCCACGCATATGCTGACGTACTGTAGATGTCAAACTATCTGCCTTCTTCGGCCTCCACCGCCCTATCTCCATCTCGCGCTCCTTCCCCAACGCAACGTCGACCGCCGAATTCGACGCCTTCTTTGACGTAACCCGGGCGAATGATGTCGAAAGAATGGAAGCCACCAAGAACGTCCTCGCTGGCTTCCTGGACCGCGTGAACGCCGAGATCGATGCACAAGAGGAGCAACGAGCCGATGCGATACAATCGGAGCAGGAGGTATACCACCTCGATGTTGAACCCACACAGCAAAACGTAGAAGACTGGGCGTCTCGCCTTGTTCCCTTCCGAGCACCAGCGGCACCCGAGCCGTACGATGCACTAGCGAGCGCGCCTCAGGCCGAGTCCCACTCCGCTGAAGGCCTCTCCGCTAGCATCAACCAGCGCATAACCGAAGTACCGCTGCCCGCGCAAGAAAGGAAGCCAAGCACATTTCGCCAACACGTTGCGCGACGAAGATACGGCATGTACATGATTAGTGTAAAGAGGCAACGGAAGCTCAAGATGAAGAAGCACAAGTACAAGAAGCTCATGAAGAGGACGAGGCTGTTGCGGAGGAAGCTCGATAGGTTGTAGTGAGTACATAGCGTTGGCGTTATAGACATGCATGGCCAGGTCGAAGAGAATCACTTCATGGACTCGCGGACTGCTGGCCTTGGGACTTCGATGTCGCCTGCGTAGGTGCGAAACCGGTCGCAGTGACCAGGAATAACACCCGCGGCTTAACGGTCGCCTCCCTACGGTCCTTCGTTTGACAGAAGGCATTACGAATTTACTCGACTCATTTCTCGAATCTCGCGCATTGTCCTGGTGTTTTGAGCAGCTTGTTTTGATCGCATATGACGCCAGACGGGGCCGCTTCTTCTTTCCAAATACCACCGTCAATAACCACCATTACGTGCATTTCCCTTGCATTGTGTTTCTGCCCGAGCATCTCGCTGTTTCTTCATGCATCGCAAAGAGTCTCTGAGAATTCGAATGGAAGTTCAAGATGCGAACGCATTGATGATCGGCGCTGTCAAGCGACGTTTGTTGACGGCGGCTATACTACGCTCTAGGCGTAGTCCCGTGTCGCAAAGTCACATGAAACCCCACCGCGACTGAGGCCGTCACAACACCCCCAACATCAGGCAGCACGCACGTCAGTCGACTGAGTCGATGCCCCGCACGGAAGCCTTAACAGACGGCTCCTAAGGCGTAGCGAAGTCGCAGCCCGGCAATCATACGTTCCAGCACGCTCAAGAGCGCATGACGCCTTGGCACGAACACCCCTCTGTCATTTTTCCACTGCGTTTTCACGACCCCGCTGTGTTCTGGGCGTCGGATCGAAGGCGGGATACACGTCTTGGGCGCATGGTTGAGACGTCCAAGTGATCCTTCCCCCAGGCATGGCGCTTGGAGGTGAGTCCCTTGGAGAGAGAGTGGCGGGAACGGAGGCACAGATGAATGTGATATATAAGCCTGGTATACCTCGCCCACAGATTGGAAGGCCAGCAACTTCGACAACAGCAAAGTCAACAGTAGCATCCAGCAAACTCCCCTTCTTTCGCTTCTTACAGCACTTTTTCCATTCTTTCGCCCAGGTCGGCCTTTATATCAACTTCCATCTACCTATTACTTACTTCTTTCATTGCAAGAGCTAGTCTCTCGTTTTCCTCCACTTTTAACGTTTAACGCATTACTACTATTATCGTTCTTTCGATTCCAAATCACAACCACAACAAATCAGCAAACATGGTTTCCAAGACTTTCATCATCGCGGCTATGATTGCCTACGTCCAGGCCCGTTTCGGTCAGGAGCAAGTCCCCATCGACGCTATCAGTCAAGTTCAGGGTGGTGATGGTGGTGCCGCTGCTACCATTGCTGGTGCGGCCATCTCTGACCTTCTCGGTGGAGCAAACTCTTGCGATAAGGTATGTGCTTCTCCACTTGTTTACCCTTACCTCCACATCTCCGGGTCTCGGGCTAACAAACACACCAGCTCGTCCGTGCTGATCAGATCTTCACCGAACTCGGTGGCGGTGCTGATGCCCTTGCTGCTGCCATTGGCATGGTGACTGCGGAGAAGAACACCAACCCCTTCGCTGGCGGCAACGCACAGAACGTCTGTGGCGATGCTTCGCTTCCGGCTACTGCTGAGCTTCGTGGTATCACTCCTCTCATCGACCCTGATGTCGATGTCAACGGTGATGCTGCTGCCCTTAGCGCTAGCAGTGCTGCGTCTCCTCTTGCTGCTGATGGTCTGAGCGTCTTTGATCTCATGGACCAGGCTGGTCTTGGTGACCTTGTTGTTAGCCAGGCTTCGGCTGGTGGTGCTGGTGCTGCCGCTGGTGGTGCTGCCGCCGGCGGTGCTGCTCAGGGTGGCAACCAGGCTGCTGCTGGTAACGGCAATGCCAACGCTGGTAACAACGCCAATGCTGGTAACAACGCCAATGCTGGTAACAACGCCAATGCTGGTAACAACGCCAATGCTGGTAACAACGCCAATGCTGGTAACGATGCCGCTGCTGGTAACGGAGCTGCCAACGCTGGCAACGCTACTGCTGATGCTGGTGCCGATGCCGCTGCTGGTAACGGCAACGCGAACAACCAGGACAACAACGCCAATGCCGGTAACAACAACGATGCTGCGGCTGGTAACAACAACGCTGGCAATGCCAACAACAACCAGAACCAGAACAACAATGCCAACGCTGGCAACGACAACGCAGCTGACAACGCTGGCAATGCCAACAACAACGCTGGAAACAACGCCAACAACCAGCAAGATGCCGCCGCCGGTAACGACAACGCCAATGCCGGCAACCAGAACAACAACAACAACGCCAACGCCGGTAACAACGCAAACAACCAGCAAGACGCCGCCGCCGGAAACAACAACGCCGGAGCCGATGCTGGTGCCGACGCCGGAGCGGACGCAGGCAACGCAGCAGCAGGCGGTGCCGGCGGCGCTGAAGACTTCGGTCTCTGCACCCCCACCATCACCTTCCAAGGCGGCGAGAACGGGCGCCCCGCTGACGAATTCACCTTCCAAATCGCGGACCCCCTTGCGCGCGGCGGCCAAGGCGAAGCCCTCAACCCGGACATCATCACCAACGCGCTCTGCAACCAGCTGACCAACGTGTGCGAAGCCAACGACGCTGCTGTGGCTACTTGCGAGAGCGCGGCTGCGGCTGTTCAGGGCGGAGACAGGAACAAGGCGCTTGCCGATCAGTTCAACAGCCTTGTTGGATTCGCTGGTGCGGTTACCAACCCGGATGGTGGTGCGGAGGATGTTGGTGCTGCGGCGAAGGCGAGGAGCATGCGCCGTGGTCTTAGGTTGTAGGAAGGTGGTTGTGATATAGAAGATGAGTAAGAGTATGAGAAGAGAAGATGGGAGTGGTGCTCTAAACGAAATCTAGATGCGAGGGAGGGGTGAACGGTACGCATTTCTTTGCTGGATGTCTACTGTTGTTAGAAGTTGGCTCGACTTTTCCTTTTTCTTTTTTATACTGTATTCTTATACCACTGCATTTGCGTTTTACGACAAGTAGATTGATATCGACGAACAAATCTGTTACGATGATTATTGTTTCTCTGGTGCTGGCTTGTGAGGTGCGAATTATGTCTCTCTGAGTCCTCTTGCACGTCCTTTTACCTTGTATCAATCGGCTGTTTGTTGGAGGATACTTGAAGCTTTCCTTGAGTGGCTTCATTCGGTTGCTGGTACCGAGGCTCTCCTCAACATCGTGGTGGAGGCGAAGAAGAGAAGGCGCATTTGACCCAGACTGGGGACTAGCCTTGGTTCGAGCTGGTCATCGAAGACGTAGTTCGGTGGCCTTGGTGGAGGCAAAAGTTGAGGGAAGCTGAAGTCTGCATTCCGAAAGACCTCGCCGATGTTCATACGTCCTTCGCTGTGTTGCTGGTAGCGAGCGTCTCCTCGATACTTGGGTGGAGGCAAAGGTTGAAGGGTGCTAAAACCTGCAATTTGAGATACCCTGTTAATGTTCATGTTTTACCTCGCCGTCCTGGTGGCTCTAGACTCGGATTCCAGTAAGATACCTTGTCTTGAGTGGCCTCGTTGTGGTTGCTGGTAGCGAACCTCTCCTCGTTACTTGGGTGGAGGCAAAGCTTGAGGGATCACGAGGTCTGTATTTGAGATACACTGTCAATATTCCTGTTTCCCTTCGCCGACTTGATAGTTCTAGACTCTTATTCCAGTGGGAGAGGCGTTGATTCGAGACGGTCGATATGTCGGCTCTAGATTTGCCTCCTTTGCCTGCGCAGTATCTTGCAGTGAGAGGCGTTATCTGGACGCCGACCATGTTGTGGTTCTGGACTTGTTTTCTTGTTTCCGCAGTATCTGGGTGCTGAAGGGTAGACCCACCGGGTACGCTAAGCGCTCTTTGCGCCATGTACGTACACCTACATTGGCAGCTGATTCATGGAGCCATCCGGACAACAGCGCAAGCGGAGATTTCCATACAACGTCGTGTGCCATAATCGTGGTAGGAGGCACCTCGAGATGCAATCTAGAGGAGGCTGTGTAGAGATTTGCATTCGCATGCAGAATGCTCCCACTGCAGTGGATCAGGAGTCTTTTGAAATGTTCCGAGATGTAATGGATGTGTGTGTTCAGTGGTAGCGAAAGTAGCTGCACTCTGAGTGTGTCTCGTGGCACCACTTACTCCACGGGAGAGATTATCGGTATCTGTGTTTCTCCTCGGTCGACGGGACCTAACCCACACCCTCACTTCGGTAGACACGCGACAGCTCCAGGAACGGCGAGGTAGTGGCCCAGAACTGAGGGAAAAGCAAGCGGTACCGTTCCCTACATTGTGCCATGTGGGTTCGATCGAGGCTCCGAGTTCCGTTACTCCGCCTCAAAAAAGCAAACAAAGGAACGTGGCCAGACAACGTCACGAGAAAATCTCCGGAGTCTGGAGTTGTCGCAGCTTGCAAGGTACATGCAAGTCCTACGATACGACTTCTGTTTGCGGACTTGGACGCAAAACCCGACCGAGCGTCTTCACCACACGGGCTGTGCTTAATCTAATGCAGACAGGATGGATACATCCTGTTCCGAGAATCCTCCCCGGCATCCCCGCCCTGCTCCGCCTTTGCAATTGTATGCGCTGCTGGCTGTTGGTACGCGATATGCGGTAGATAGCGATGTCACACGCTCATTGGCCATGGGTAGGGTGAGGTTACTTGGTGTAGCTGATCTGCAAGTCCGTTGCGATCTGCGCTGCATCTGTCTTCCGCGGAGCTGGTGGAGGTGGACGCTCGACTTACCTATGAAGGCGAAGTGGCTTGCGGAGAGACCCTGAGCTAGAAGGTATGGAAGAAAGGAAGGAGTGTGTGTGGGGATGGTGAGTCTCGCCAGGACCAGGGGAACCATGTGCGCGCTTGGAGTCGGTGAAGTGGAATGAGCTGTTTTGGACAGCGAGACGGGTGTTGTGAGCTGGTTATGATAGCGAGGCAGCTTTGCCGTTCCGAGCAAGCGGCGGCGCACAGCGATCATGTGTTGGACGATCATTGGGAATTGCAGGAGGCCAAGGCAGAGCTATGAGCGTCGGTAGTCCACGTGTGAAGGTGCTAGAGTCAGTAAATCCCGCTGTCGTTCATTGCTTTTGAGGCGGAATCAGGCGGCAGCCACAGACGCATTGTCATGGCACACAACCCTCCTCACGTCGCATTCGCTTCGATGTGGCGCAACGAGTGCAATGCCGGAGTCGAATGCCTGGCAAAGTGGCTTCGTACGAACTCTAAACGCGAACTTGAGCCGTCGACACCGGATGGGTAGCGCCCGCCCATGGAGTGAAGCTACTGGGACGTTCGTGCCTGCTAGGCCCGATCTGGGCAAGGGGTGTCATCCAAGATGAGGATCAGGTACGACTGCATTGACTCGACCCACCAAACACGTTTGAGGGCTGGCAGAGTGAGGTGGTTGATGGTGAAGAGCAGCGGCGGAGAGAAGGGCCGCGGTGGCTGGCTCCCCCGCTAGGCGTGGCAAAACGGCTGCGCCACGGTGATCACAAAAGCTTGAGTGCCCAACAGATGGACTGTTTGGGTGACAGTGTAAGAGATGCGTTCACTCGACATGACATGGCGGCCGGCCATGCAAGTAGTGCAGTGCTCCGACAGCATTACGCAAAACACTAGGTCCGCATGGGCTTAGGCGCCAAAGTGGGTCCCGATGAAAATCGCGTGCGTCTCGACATGCATTCCTTCCACACAGACAACAAAGCCTGTTAGCCTCATTGCGCACGAGCGTCGTCTAGCATGGCACATTATTAAGAGAAACATTTAGCACAGGGCGAGAAGCCAAGGGACGCTGCGAAAAAACTTTGAGACGTGCTTGCTGAGAAAAGGATCACCATCGGTCCTTTACTCGGTCCCATTCCCCCGCCATCCGATTCGCACCGCTGCAACAGGCCCTGATGACGACGTAGGTGCTAATCGCGAGTGTGGTTCTTCAGTTCATGGCGAAGTTCCTACCTTACACCTTCTTATATGCCTTTTTTCGCCGATTGAGACGCGGAATACTATAGTAGTCTATGCTTGCCGCTCGCCAACTCCCTGTGGATACCTACTAGATGAATCAGGCCAGCATGACCACTCCGCGACGGAAGGCATGTGTCGAGTGCCGACAGCAAAAGGTACTTCCCCACCTCAATGCATCGCGACAACGTCCGCAATGGCGAAGATGGTTTACTGATCATTTCTTTGGCAGATCCGATGTGATGTCGAGCAGCACAAGGTACCGCATGACCCATGCGGCCGCTGCAAGAAGATGGGCCTCGAATGCCGCATTCTTCCCACGTCGACCAGGAACCTGCGCCAAACAAAGGCAGAGATGCGACGCGAATTGGAAGAGTTGCGATGGAATATGAGGCAAGGGCAGAATCCTGGCGATGCAAACTACCCGCAATCGACAGCATCACCGACCGTCGACATGCAAAACTACGGTCCGCTCGAACACGCTTCGGGCACATATTCTGATCCTTCCGGAAGGACAGATGCATCAGATTCCATGTCACCAGCTTTCGACTCGCGGCCACCGACGCGAAAAGGTTCCGATCATCATGGCACGGTACCGCGTGTGATTGACGGCTACCTGCTCGATTCAAAGAGAATCGACGATTGCTTCACCATGTACGTTGACTCAGGATATCATTCTTATCTATGCTAACATGACTGCAGTTACTTCACCCAATACCATCCACTGTTTCCTATCTTGGACCCTTCAATAGGGCCGAATGACTATTATGACCAATCGCCGTTCTTGTTTTGGACTATAGTGGTCACGGGATCGCGGCGGTACTCTGAACATGAAGTCCTAGAGAGGACGAGCCAGCCCATCACCCAGCTCGCGTTCTCTTCGATGGCGCTACGCACCTCACAAGTTCCGATCATCCAAGGTCTACTGATTCTGTGCACATGGCGACTACCCACCAACTCAATGTACAAAGATACAACACACCTCATGTGTGGATCGGCAGTGCATCTAGCAACACAGATTGGTCTGCACATAGCAGGTGTTGGCCAGGATTTTGCTAGGACGCCGCTTGAGAAGGACCAGTCGCTCAAGGTGCAACGCGCCAGGCTCTGGCTGTGTTGCGTCATCGTTTCCATAAGGTGAGGTCACAAAAGAAGTAACACTGCGACATACGCTAACCGTATCTAGAACGAGCTGTGTTGAAGGTATACCACCTCTTGCTGAGTCATTCTTCGATGGCGATGAACAAGATCGTGAAGACATGGTTCCATACCTCCCGTCTGACCTGCAGTTCCTGCACAAAGTCTACATCATCCTCATGCGTGCCATGGTTGCCATGGGCAAGACTAACTTACAATCCATTCATTGTGATGTCCGTGTATTACGATCATTGATTGGCATATTCGACTCGCAACTCCTCAGCTTGGCCCCATCTTCTCCAAGTGAACTCGGTAAGTTTGACCCGACTCTTTCAAAACTTGAACTAATGAAATAGATACCCTGCAACTCAGCTGTGCACGTATTCACGTAATGGCGTTCCATTTCTTCGCCCATCCCACGAACCCCGGACCCGATGCCGAGGGTCTTTCACGATTCTACTCCCTTTGCATCTCAGTTATCCAGTCCGCTTCGACAATGCAGACGACACAAAAGATCTTCCTACCCTCCGTCTCGCAATCATTCATTGACCGAACTATTACTCTGGCTGGATTTACCATTCTTAGACTCGTTCGAAGTCCGCTTGCTCAACATCTGGATGTACTTGCGGGCGAGCGAGCTTTCTCACAGGCGTATGATTTCCTTAAGAACGTCTCTTTACAACCAGGAGATATCCATTTCCGAAC